GAAGGAAAAGAATCCGATTGATGAAGAAAGTTCAATCGCTGCAGGAAGTCCTGCAAGACCTGAAAGACCAGAAGCTTGTAAAATATGATGTGAGTCACCTCCTTGAGCAATCTTTTTCTGGCTCAACCTTGGACCTTTTGAAGAGAAAGCTGGATGGGAAGGCAAATGCACAATATCCTCCTGAACTGCGTGCCTTTGCCCTTACACTTCATTTTTATAGTCCACGTGCTTATAAGTATGTCCGTGAGACCTTTGATTTCTGTCTGCCTCACGAGAGAACAATTCGGCATTGGTATCAATCCATCGATGGGGCTCCTGGATCCACATGTAAGTGGCGTCCCTACCAATTGTGACCTGGGATCTGATTTCTTGCTATATTAGTCTTTTCTAAGAATTGATATTCATTGCCTTCTGCAGAAGAAGCATTTTGTGCCCTGAAAGTTCAAGCTTCTAAGATGAAAGACAAAGGGAAGGAGCTGATTGGGGCGATGACACTCGATGAAATGGCCATTCGGAAGCATATCCAGTGGAACAGCACAACTGGGAAGTTCCAAGGATATGTGGACATGGGGACCGGGGTCGAAACGGACTCACTACCTCCTGCAAAGGATGCACTGGTATTTATGGTGGTTGGTGTAAATGGGGCATGGAAAGTCCCAGTTGGGTACTTCTTGATTGATGGACTTGATGGTACAGAGCGGGCCAATCTTGTGCACCAATGCCTCTCCCTCTGTCATGAGGCTAGAGTAAAAGTACGTTCCTTGCTCTCGAGCTACAGTTTCATAGTGATTATCACCAGTTCATTTCTATCCTTTCTTTGCCTATCCCCTGAAACCCTATTTCAACATTTTTTCTTTTACTTCAGTTTCCCTTGAATGAATTCCTGCTCCTGGCTGTTCTGGCTATGTCCACATCCTCCTCCTGATATTGTACATGAAGTCTGACTCAAATTTACAGTCTTTGTGTAACTAATATTTTCCCTTTTATATGAAGCCTATTTTCATGGAACATTTAAGTCATTTCTCTCCTCTCTAAAGGTCATTTCCATCACATTTGATGGAACTGCCTGCAACATGAGTATGACCAGGCAATTGGGGGCAACATTATCTGCCAGTGAGATGAATCCCACAATGAGGCATCCAAGTAATGGTGAAACCGTGAGATTCATATTAGATGCATGCCATATGATGAAGATCTTGAGGAACTGCCTTTGCCAAAGAGGGACATTCTTGGATGAAAATGGACAGGTCTGAACTTTTGTCTTCCTTGTACAAAGTGTGGCAATTAATGAGACACATTTCCAAGCGTTCTTTTTTTTTAGATATAATAGTCAACAGTATTCATTTTTTCCACCGTATGAAGAATTCCATGAAGATTTAACCCAGTAAATGACATTCCAACATAGATTGTTGGACTGCTGAACAGCTTGCATACTTTGTGGAGGTGTATTTCTCAATTAAACATTCAGCGATCTTTTTTTATTGGGCAATCTATAGTTTAACATGTAGAACACACAGAAACAAAGACAAATGGTACAAAGGACAACCTTTTGGAGTTTGACATTTCAAAATTCGACAATTCATGAAATTGACATCTCAAAGGTTTACATAAACAAGTAATTGAATTATGTAATAATAAGAACATATGATGGATAACAAGAGTTGGTGAGAGCATGATTGTCAGAGCACAGGAATGTGCTGTCTGTGTTAGTCATCTTGGTAACATGATTTACAATACTTAGTGGTGCACTAAGACTCCAAACTTCATACTTTATTTTACCTTTTGAGTTATGGAAACATTTGACTCCATGAGACATTTAAATTCCAAATGTGTGTCACTTTTTGTCACTCCATGGATATACAATAGGAACTAGTAGCCTGATTAAATACTCATTTCATAGGAGATCAAATGGAGTTACCTGGAGAAACTGCATGCATTGCAGCAGAAAGAGCGACTGCATACTGGCAATAAGCTGAGACAGGCCCACATGAAGTGGCATCAACAAAAAATGAAGGTTCACTTGGCTACTCAGCTTTTTAGTTCATCTGTTGCAGATTCTTTGCAGTTCCTTTCTGATGATCTGAATTTGGAAGATTTCCAGGGCTGTGAAGCAACATGCCGATTCATACGTCTGATAGACACGTAAGAAAGAATATTCTTGAGAAATTGAGAAAATTACTTTTAAAGTTTTAAACTTAAATATCATAATTCTTTTTCAGTCTATTTGACATTCTCAACTCCAGAAGTCCCTTTGGCAAAGACTTCATAGCCCCATTGTCCACCTCTAATGAACACCTCTGGACGTCCTTTTTAATGGAAGCTACTAGCTACCCTCTGAAGCTGAAATTTGTATTAGTGGTCAGATTCTTGCCACTACACCTCGAAAGACATCAAACATTGGATTGGTGGCAGACATCATCAGCATTCAAGGAATTTTTGAAGATCATGTTAAGCCACTGGATTCGTCCTTGAGGTATGTCGGACTCTTTGCAGCTGCTCATATTAGTATATTATCACTGTCACTACTCACCAGAGATTCCATTAAATATTGAAAATCTACACTGGGACAATGTTTGCAAAAATTTAAAAAGAAACTTGTTAGTTGAAATCATGAGCTTGCCTACAGGCAGATGTGCAAATAAATTGCATATATTGTAGGTTTACCATGATTCTGAATTCCAAATTTAAAGTGCTATCAGTCGTGACTGGTCATACACTAAATGAGTTTCCTATATTTATTTCAGTTACCTCCTTACCTACAAGCTATCTCAAGATCATCTTGAGCTGTTCTTTTCCTCCATTCGAAGTCAAGGAGGGTACAACAATAATCCTACTGCTGCACAGTTTCAGTCAGCTTATAAGAAACTACTGATGCACCACCAAGTGAAAGGAAAAGAAACAGGCAATTGCCAAGCAAAAGATGAAACCTCAATTCTCTTTGCCACTTGCAGGTATTCCTACTTAGTTAAAAATGTACAGGGTGAAATTTTCATGAGCATCATCACTTGTGTTTGAATTTTCGACAGGAACATGCCTATGTCATCATATGATGTCTGTCTGGAAAGGAGAAGTGATTCAGAGGCAAACATGGACTGCAATGCAGACATAGACAATGAAAACAACCATTTGCCAAGTCCCATCCACTTGTCCCTGTATTGCATGAATGTAGTGGAGTACATTGGTGGGTTTGTGAGCAAGTCATTAGAGAAAAAAATTCCTTGCAATTCCTGCAAGGAAGGCTTGTATGGGTCTTCTCTGGCAACCTCCCCCCTTATTCAAAGAAAATCAAGAGGGGGCTTGAAAATCCCCTCAAAAGGAGTTATTAGAATCTGTCATGCAGCTGAGCAATCTTTGCCCTGTTTTCTTCTGAAGGGAGGGGTGTCAACAGTCGATCGGGCCGCTAATGAACGAAAAGAGTGAGTTGATTGCAAGCGATAAGGATATGGCCAGTATACTTAACGAGTTCTCCGCTTCCGTTTTCACTGTGGAATCCGACTCGGCACCGACTTTGGAGGAGGTGACCTCGGCTCGCATCGAGGATATTTCCATCACCAAGGAGACGATCGTGAATATGATAGGGAAGTTGGCGGTGGGCGCAGCGACTGGCCCCGATGGGATTCCCAAGAGAGTCATTAAGGAAACCGCGAGCGAAATATCGGTTCCGCTAAGAATTATATTCGATAGCAGCTTTTCGCGCGGGGAAGTACCTAAGGACTGGAGACGAGCAAACGTCGTACCGATCTTTAAGAAGGGCGAAAAGAGTCATCCAGGAAATTACAGGCCGGTAAGTCTCACGAGTATCCCAGGGAAGATCATGGAGAGCATACTAAGGGACCATCTCTTGGATTTCCTCGAAGGAAACGCGCTCATTCGGGACTCTCNCCCTTCTGTGACTATCTTTAAGAAGAAACTAGATGCTTTCATGGACAGGCAAAAAGGTGGGGGGCAATTTTGACGTAGGTACTAGACAGTAAGCAACTAGGATAGTAAAAAAAAAAAAAAAAAAATAACAAAAATACAAAAATATTTAGCTTTAAGAGGGTCAGGCCTACCTTAAATTAAGGAACGCTCGACCTCGACATGTGATATCGAAATGTGCGAAATCGCCTCTTGATATCACTAACTCTCCTGACTCCTGACTCCTGACGAGTCATGCGGCCGCATGAGTTTTCTCAAACTCAAGTTTGAGAAAAGACAGGCGCCCGCAAATAGGGGAAACAAAAAGGCGAGAAACACTCCGGGACTTCCCAGTCAAAGTTGGCGTTTGAACGAAAAGAAGAGGAAAAGAGCGACGGTCGAGCGCTTCCTTCATTGAAGGAATGGGCGACGTTGAGAGTAGTAGGTGTTTCCAGTTGGCAGTGGCCGAACGAGAGGAAGTTTATTTAAATTGCGTTAATTTAATTAATTTAATTGCGGCTCGATTTGCGTCAGATCCTCTTGCAGGTTAGCAAACGCGTGTTGGATCCCTTCATGAAGAAAGAGGCATAATGAGTGGATATTAGGTGGGCTATGCAGAAGGTGACTAGATGTGCTCCCACAAATAAGCTTACCGACCCCGCTTGGAAACTAGTTACATCTCGGATTAACCCGTTGGCATCGATTTGCGAGACCGTCTCGTCGTATTGATACCAGGCCAGACGGTCTCGTAGAGGTACGGGACCGTCTCGTATCTATATTTTACACGCGAACTTCTCACGTGGGTTCCAATGTTGACCATCGGAAACCTATTTTCTATGGTTTTAACCTTTACAGACAAAATTCTCAGTTGTGCGCGAACTATAACACGTGCATTTGAGGATAAGGTTCTGCACAAATTTGGTACGCAGATGGTATAATAATTCCAAAGCCAGTGGGTTAAATGAAGGCTCGACCTCGACAGGAGGCAGAACTGCCACTTCGCATCCTGAAACCTTGAGCTTTGAACCGAGCATTCAGCGGGAACGAGGCGGCGGGTGGGATGAGACATGGCGCATGCGCGGTGGGTGCCCAGGTGCAGTCGACATGGCGGGGCGCAGTCGAGGCTGCCCTGCCACGTGGGGCTGATGCAATGCGATAGGGGGGTGACTCGCTTTCCGGTTGTCGCGTAGGGTTTTCGGGGTTTTTGAAGGGAGTGGGCGTGGTTCGTGGGTGAGGTGTGTCGCTTTTCGCCATGCCGACGGTGTCGGTCGACAGAGATGCGTTGTTGGGGTCGCTGGGAAAAGAATTCAGTGAGTTCTTTCCAGGTTTTTACTCGGTAGGCCTAGGTCTTTGCCGGTTGAACGATTTCGTCGTGTTTTGTCAGATGTGTGAATGGATTCGGTTGTGTTCTCTTTTTCTATCGTAGGTGAGCAGAAATTCGATGAGCTCTGCTTCAGTTTTGGCCTGGAAATCGATGATGTGGTTAGTTTCATTGTCTAGAAACCCCATAATTTATCCTATAAACGACAAAATAATGCAGGAGGGGGCAGCTCTATCCGTCCCCTTGAGGGGAGCTTTGTGAACATGCGCATTCAGCATGTGAAGACAAAAATGGCCACTGCAACTTCATTTTCTTCTTTTACAGGTTGTGGAGAACGAAGGGGGCAAGGAAGTCGTGCAGTACAAGGTCGAGGTGGCTGCCAACAGATACGACCTCCTGTGTTTTGAAGGCATCAGGAGAGCTCTTCTTATTTACCTTGGCAAGTCAGTGTCAAACCAAGTTCCCGTGTGTCGTTTCTTGGGGTTTTGCCGGCACGAGGAGGGTGTACCATGGTGTTAGGTGAAGGGGAAAGAGTTATGTTGTTCCATGTTTAGCTCTGCAACAGCTGAGGGGAAACAGTTTTTAAGTATTTTTCTGATAGTTTAGGCCAGTGACAGAAAGAATCTCTCATTGGGGAACTCTCTCTCCATGCATGTTCTGATTTGAGCCCTAGGTTCCCTTTTTTCCATGTAAATCCTTCCTGACTTCACTAAGACCTCCTCAGTGTCAACCTTGTAATCCTTTAACCTCATGTAAAGTTGATCTAAACTTTTGATATGAGCAGCATTTATGTTATGTGTAAACTAATGAAGATTACTACTAAATACATCATTTTTCCTCCAGAAATACTTATGCCCATTGTCACACAGCGCCTTCAGATACCACACCTGTCCTCATGGTCTGGCCCCAGAGCTTTGCTTGGACCATGATGCATAAATGCATGGAATATCTTCCATTCTCTGTCCTTGGTGCACATGTGCCTTTACTCCTACTGAGGAGAAAGTGTGCTTTTTCTAAACAGGCTAACTTTATTTCTATTTATTTAAATTTGAGTTGAGCTGCTTTTTGAGAGATATGGCAATACATGAGAAGAATCATGCATTCACGTCATTTTAAACCAAGTTCATTTGAATTGGTAAAGAAACTGAAGCATTTAAATTTCAATTCAGTGTAGGTGTTCTGAGTCACTTGCTTCGAGGTGCAGTCTCTAATGGGTATTTTCAATTGCAGACTAGATATCCCACGTTACACATCGCTGAAGCCGTCAGAGACCCTCCGACTTATTGTGAAGCCCACGGTGAGTCGACCTCTCATCTAGGACAGGGAGTAAGGTATCTGACTGTTGGTATACTTCAAAAAGCTGCTTTTAATTTCAGATCAAGGAGGTTAGACCTTTTGCTGTTGCTGCTGTGCTGCGTGGAATCAGGTTCACCAAGCCCATCTATGATAGCTTCATCGACCTTCAAGACAAGCTGCATCACAACATCGGTCGGAAGCGAAGCTTGGTGGCCATTGGCACTCATGATCTGGATACCATTCAGGGACCATTCATTTATGAAGGAAGGAAACCGCAGGATATCAAGTTTCGACCGTTGAATCAAACCAAAGAATTCACTGCCGTGGAATTGATGGAGTTATATTCAGTGAGTCCCTTGGAATGCTTCAAAATTCATTCCCTCTGCATGAAAATGAATTGTGATGCTGGTTTGTTCTTGTGCCCCATAGACTGACAGCCACCTGAAGCCGTATCTCCCCATCATCCGGGACAAGCTCGTGTATCCGCTGATCACCGATCGAAATGGTGTTGTTCTTTCCATGCCCCCTATCATTAATGGGGAGCATAGCAAGATCAGCCTCAACACAAAGAACATTTTCATCGAGTCCACTGCCACCAGTCTACACAGAGTAAGTTACTTTCCATCTCACCTTTCATGGCCTTAGCCTTCCCACAGGAGAGTCATCTGAAAAGTTTCCTTATCTCTTCACTGCACTTCTCAGGCCAAGATCGTACTCGATACGATCGTGACCATGTTCAGCGAGCATTGCCAGCAGATCGAAGCTGTGGAAGTGGAGTACGATCAGGGAGAGGTGGTCCTTTATCCTGAACTCAAGTATTGGACTATGGAGGTTTCAGTTAAAGATGCTTGTCGAGATATTGGTATCAGGTGAGTTTTTTGTTCATTTGCATGAATCTTAGGTTTCTTTATGCGCTTTTAATTCCTTTCAGTTTAGGTCTCTATTTCTCTTAACCTGCAACTTTTGAGTCATGGGTGCCCTTGAACTGGGCAAAGGTGACATTCGGATGGTGGTGCCCTGTGTGGTTTAAAACAAATTGCAGACTGTATTAAGATAATCATGCAATCCTATCTCTACTTTTTTTTTAAGTTTTTAATAATGTGGCTAAATAATTTGTGGGAAAATGTTGGAATTGGGTAGTGCCTCAAAGGCATTGAAGAGCATTTGCTGTGAGTTTAAGTTAAGAAAAAACCATGAATGTTTTCATATTCAGTTGAGGTTATATATTTTTTTACTATGTTAAGAATTAATTGAACTTATGACATCCCACTTCGTCCACATTGTGTTACAGTAAAAAGCACATACCCATAGCAGTTAAAGAGTAATGAGATACTTGGTGAAGCCAGAAATTCAGTCCTTGTTGAAAGAGCAATGTCACTTACTTTAGCACATTCATTATAGTTTCTTTTCCCACTTCCTGGTTGTTCCTGGATGGTGCCTGTTATGGAGCAATTGATTGGCTTCCTACAGGGTTATCAGTTGATTTAGCACTTAGTCTGACTCATTGACAGGTTATAATTAGAATTTATTGCTTGCAGGCTAACTCTGAAGGTATATTAAAAGAGTGGTCAAGATATGCTTTCTCAGATGCAAGTATGTGGGGGAAAGTATATGAAAAAATATGTAACCCATTGCCAATGGAAAATTTAAAAAATAGTCTTGTTTGTATGCACGGATGAGTTGATATCCAGAGGTAAAGGGACTAGCAATTATGTATTGTATTAGAGGAATAGAGATGGAGCTAGCTTGTGGACTTGGCCTTAAGAGGTTGTTTGTTCAAGTGATGACAGTTCTTAGCTTGACAGATATTGCTTTGACAGTCACACTGTATTACCACTGAAGTGGTAATACAGTGTGACTGGTAACACAGGCTGGTTACTATTATTGAGCAGTGATGGTTACCAGCTTACCTATAAGTAATAAAATTAATATAATTAATAAGTTAATGAAGAACTGTAATCAATTTAATGTACTTTGTTTAATTGGATTAGTTTTTTATTGATTAATTGCCTTGGTTCAAACTTGCATGTTTGTGTTTTATTACAGCATATCAAGGGAGGAGATGAGAACCCTGCTGCAGCGAATGTGTATCCCATCGACAATCTCATCTGATCCTGACAAGATCATGGTGGAGATCCCACCCACAAGACATGACATCCTGCATGCTCAGGATGTCTATGAGGATGTGGCAATTGCTTATGGGTACAATAATGTAAAACCAACCTTCCCGTCTGCATCCACCATCGGCCAGCAGTTCCCCCTCAACAAGCTGTCGGATCAGTTACGACATCACGTCGCGCAGGCAGGCTTCACCGAGGCTGCAACGTTTGTTCTGGTCGGATTTTTACCCCAGTTCATCTCTTATGCCTTGCAATACCTGTCTGTTGAAGAGTAAGTTCATCTCATCAGTGTTCACGCGATGACATGGGAGAGAAGCTGCGCAAGACCGACAAGGAGCCGAATCTCGTCCACGTCTCCAATCCGAAGACCCTGGAATTCCAGGTGTGCCGAAATTTGCTTCTACCGGGTTTGCTGAAGACCTTGGCTGCCAACAAGAAGATGCCTCTTCCTCTCCAACTGTTTGAAGTGGCAGACATTGTTGTCAAGGAGCCCAAACAAGGTGAATTTTTTTTAAGTCACCTGATGTGACTAGTTTCCAAAAGGGATTGACAAAGGCTCTCTGCAGATGTCGGAGCTCGCAATGAACGTCACCTGTGTGCCGTAAATTATAACAAGACCCCGGGATTCGAAGTGATTCACGGGTTGCTCGATCGAGTGATGCAGCTGCTGGAAATTCCCTGGGAAGGACACGGACTCCCCTCTGGCTCTGGGTATCACATTCGAGGCGCCGAACGTAAGCTTCGACGGTCTTCCCGACTCTCGTGTCGACTTTAGGCACATCGCACGATGCGTGTTACGTGGTTTTTAGATGCGAGTTTTCTACCCGGTCGGTGCGCCGAGATCGTGGCCCGAGGGAAGGTGGTGGGACATCTGGGGGTCCTACATCCAGATGTCATTCTTGCATTTGAACTCCATCTTCCATGTGCTGCCTTGGAAATAAATATCGAGCCCTTCCTCTGACCCCACCCAGTGATATCTTATGGTGTTTCTTACTATTGGGGGTTTTTTGAACTATAAGATACGAGAGGAATCTTGGCCTGACCTTTGGAAATAAAGAGTGAAGAAAAAGTAGCACTGACAGAAGAAAATTACTTCATTTTGCTTCCAAAAAAATGCATGAATATAAAGTCAATCTGTTGCATAACTGATTGTAGCTTGTTTTAGGAGGGAAAATCTACTCGTAGTGGTTCCTATTGATGATGGGTATGTCCTCGCAACCGGTATAGCCAATGTTGTCTGCGCAAGCCAGGTCACTGCACTCGCTTCCATCTATCTGTTTCAGTCGATCCGACATAAAGATACATCCATCCCGAATCTCTCTCAATAAATACATCCCAAAACATGGAGCCCCTCGAACCATCCTCAAGGCTTCGCCTGCGCCGGTTTCTTCGGCCGAACGCGCACATCAATGTCCGGAAACTCCTCCTGCTGCTTCCTCAGGCACTCCTCCACCCCCCTGTACAAATGATCCCGCTGGGGACTTTGGACCCGGCACTCGTAGCCCCCCTGGCTATGGATCAGGGCGTAGTCCAAGCAGTTCACCACCCCGTTCCCATCGCAATCCTGCAGATCGTGCCAATTCCACCTTAAAACGTGCAAACACGTGCAAATCCAAGTTCCAATTCGAGCCCTGGATCTACACACGCCGACGCTAAAACGCGAAACAGGCAACATAATTTAAGGTCGATCGCCTCGGCGTCTCGAATCGAAGCCTTCCGGCCCATGCAATCTCTCATTCAGAACGGACGACGCCACTCACCGCATGGAACTTCCGCATGTAATACTTGATGGTCTCGGTGGCGCAGAACAGATCCTTCGCGCAATCCTCGAACCCTGCAAAAAAAAAAAAAGACCGGTCACATCCCCCCGCTATGACATCCCGCGACATCACACGACATCACACGACATCCCGCGACTCACCGTACTGCGAGAACGGATTGCCGACATCCTCCGCGACCTCCGAGTCGACCCAATACGGCCGGGAGATGCCGAATGGGCCGCAGAGCTTGAGGCCGCCGTCGCGTCGGCAGCCGAGGGTCGCGTTGCAGTTGCTGCTGGCCTTGCAGATGCAGCCGGTGCATTGCTCGTCGAGGGCGGGGGGGAAGGGGGGCGAGGGGGCGGGGGGGTCGCCGGGGTTGCCGGGTCCGATCGGGGTCTGGAGGCCGGCCTGGCCTTGACCTGAGGGGAGACAACATTTCTCAGGCATCAAATAACATTAAGTAACAAATAACTTATTGTCATTATTTATACATATAAATAATGATAATGTGTTTTGGCTCGTTTCGTATGCGAAGAGGAACGTGAAAAATTAAAATGTCAGAGGGAGAAATGAACGAAGCCCGTTCTCGCATGGACCTGGCACGTTAACAAAAGTCATTTGATGGTGCAGGACTTCCTTGGAAATTTCCTATTCGGAAATGAATCCGGGAATGTCGGAATGCGAGCGGGAGCGACTCGAAGTCGCTCGCCGACCCGAGACGTGCGTCTTACAGGGGAGAAAAAAAAAAAAAAAACTAAAAAAAAAACTAGGGAGCTAACGGCGCACTTCGTCACCGTGTGGGGTCATTCGTCCCTCTGGCCTTGAGGGGGGGCGGGGGGGGGGGGCTTCATCAGGGAAGGAGACGAAAGGAATCTCACCTTCGCCGCTGCCGCCGAAGAGAATCGACATGAACATCAATCGCCACATTTTAAAAGCCGGGACGAGCGAGAGCGAGAACGAGAATCCCCGCGCGAGGCAGAGGAGAGACTGACAGGTCAGTCGCGTCCGGAGGAGGAGGCAGGTGGAAGTCGATGGCCTTGGCGTCCCGTTCAAGGCCTTCCCCCTCCCTCCATTCTGCATCCTCGGTCCATTCTACATCCTCCTCGCTTCCTCGCAGGTATTGCTCCTTCTCGGGTGACCGATTCCTCCTATTTTTTTTTTTTCCTTCCCGTCTCGCGCGGAGCCCGAGGATCGATGCGCGCTGCGATATCTAAAGAGGAAAAACAGTTTAAACCCGTTTCCGAACGGTTTTCGTGCCCGTTTCCCGTGTTCCTTCTTCCTGTCGAAATCCGGTCATCGAGAACCGGATGGCCGCTAAGAATCCGGATGGCCATTAAGATCCGGAATTCCTTCAGAAAACTCATCCTCGAAGCCTTTCCTCCATCTCCCGCCCTTGTCTACCCCGGAAATAAATTCCCATCCTTTCCTCAGACGCCACTCGGCGGTGCCCCTCCCCATTTCCCCCTAATATCCAAACTTTCAAATAATTACGGGAAGTCTCGCATCGAAAGTAAACAGACGAAAGCGGCAAAGACCAGTGACACGTAGAAACGCAGTGTGTCTCATAATTAACCGCACTCGAGTTTATCGAAGATGAAGCCGGATTCTTCATAGAACCTTTGAGCCACCGGCCAAAATGATTTATTCCTCGAAGCTGCCTTCATGTCGGCGGTGGCAACTCCAAATATTAATCCACTGGCCCACTGAGTCATTTCATGGAAGCAAGGTCTGCTAGGAATGAACACTATCATGAGCTGGGTTTAGAGATGAGCTGGGTTTGGAGATGAACTGGGTTTAGAGATGAACTGGGTTTAGAGATGAACTGGGTTTAGAGATGAACTGGGTTTGTAGATGAACTGGGTTTAGAGATGAGCTGCGTTTGGAGATGAACTGGGTTTAGAGATGAACTGGGTTTAGAGATGAGCTGGGTTTGGAGATGAGCTGGGTTTGGAGATGAGCTGGGTTTGGAGATAAGCTGGGTTTAGAGATGAGCTGGGTTTAGAGATGAGCTGGGTTTGGAGATGAGATGCCAGCAGCGATTATTCTGGTGGAGGGTGATCTAGAAGGCTTCGACTTCAATTCCTTATTGAAATATCGTCAGAGTGGACACTACGTTTCCCAGACCCGAAAATGATGGAGCCAATGGGCATAAAATAATTTTATTTGGTAGCTGTAAGTTATGTGTGGGTTTCTGAATGGAATCGAATCAGCTCTCCAGTGGTACAACCAGATGTTCTGCTGCTCTCATCGTTTTGCAAAAAAATAAAAATAAGAATAAAATAAGGGAGGCTGCTAAGGTTTTGAATAACTCTGAGGGCGTTTTTTTTTTTTTTGCATCGTCGCGCTTCGAACTTTCCCGATCAGATCGCGGAGGACGGAGCCGTTGCCGTTTCGGCCGTGCTCGACGAAAGCGAGTTTCCCCCGAGCCGGTCCGAAGACCTTTCATTCATGAAGGACATTCACGAAGGACATTCATGAAGGACAAGGAAGCCGAAGAATTCTCAGCCACGGAATCGATCGAGTTCGGTGAGAGTTCCCGGGTCGGTCATGGTCATGGTCCTCGACACCGTGAACGTTTTCGTCGAGTCCCTTGCCACAAGTCTAGCCACAAGTCTCGCCACAAGTCTCCGCAGTCATCTCCCCTCTCAGTCTTCACGTGGTTTCCTTTAAATGTCCAATCCAAGGAATCCTCTTTCTTTTTTTTTTCATGATGCTTCTCTGGCAAGGATCGTTCTCAGCACAGTTCTCAGCACAGTTCTCAGCACAATTTTGGCCACGTTCACCGATCATCCCAAGCCGCTCGAAGCAGCGGTTCTCGATCCCAAGCGACTCGGCACTATCTGAATGAATGAAGCTGGTTTTCATCCAAGCGAGTTCAATCATCGGAGAGAAAACCCGCAAGAAAAAAAAAAAATTAATTGGGAAAATTTTTCACCAACTAAAATTGCATGAATAATTTTTTTTTTTTTTTTTTACACTTGGCCCAAATACTCTCACATCACTCAGACCCCGTTGCTCAGCTCATGCTCACGCATGCTTAATTCATCACCGATCCTGATGAGACAGCGCCACCGCCGGTGGCTTCAAATGAAAGGTCGAGATTATCCAATCAATTGGGTTCATTGCGATTGGGGAAGCAGAATATTAATTAGTGTACTTCGCTAATAAACACAATTTGAAGTGGTTTCCAGGTGTAAAACTTGCTACACCTGCATGCAGCTGCTGCAGCTCGTTGCTTGTTGTTTCTTGGGCAACAGCTGAGTTTTGACGGTTGATCAAGCTGCATCAAACTGCATCAAGCTGCATCAAACTGCATCAAGTTGCATCAGGCTGCATCAGGCTAAATAAAATTGGGTCGACTCACGAAACGTAACTTCTCGAGTTCATTTCATGGCTGAAAATTTGCAACCAAAATAATAGCTCAATGCAGCTGTGCCAAAAAAGACGCGATTATCGACAGCTATTTTAGATTTGACATAAGATTCGATTTTTGCCTGGAAATGAAAGAGGGAATGAAAATGTTTTCAGCTGACTTGCGAATCCTCCTCCGGCGAGGATTTTCTTTTTTTGCGATTGCAGAGCGAAATGCCTCGGGGGATGCCTGTTGAACACGTTGAACACGTTGAACATGTCGGGTTCGACGACTCTCATTCCCAGTTTCCATCGAGATGTAAAAGCCTTTCCTCGTTCGTCTGTCGATTAGCAGCGTCTGGCGGCAATTAATTAGTCAATTTGCATCCTGAATTTATTTAGTCGAAAATATGAGATGAATTTATTTAGTCGAAAATTTGAGATGAATTTATTATTAACTTGAATAAAAAAAACGCCTCCATTCCAAGTGTGTGCTGAAACCGTGAAAAGACGCTTGTTCCGTTTGAAACGGCATTTTCCTCAAGGAGCCAAAAGGAGGCGAGTCGAGGCAATTCGAGTCAAGGCGAGTCGAGGCAGTCCCACGGGGCCGGTCCCTGACTGAGGTCGACACCGTCCTTTGTTCAATGTCGACACCGTCCTTTGTTCAATGTCGACACCGGCCTTTGTTCAATGTCGACACTCAAAACGAACATCACATCTGTAAATCAAACAATGCAGTTCGCAGTTCTTCGTTTGCCCGGACTCCTGGGTATCACATTCGAGCCCTATTTCACTTCCTGTTCTTCATGATGTCGACATGAACTTGTCTTGACTGGTTTTATATATATATTATTATATTTTCATATAATAATCTACTATTATAATTTCAAGTGCATGTTTTCCGTCTGGTCGACATGAAAGTGGCTGGGTGTCTGCCCTGGAAACACATTAAGCCTCTGGCTCCATCCGGCTCCATCCGGCTCCATCTGGCTTCGTCCGGTCGTACTTCCCAGTCTTTTCCCTTGATATGGAAAGTCCTCGTGAGCGTAAGAAGTCAACAGTGAAGAATAAGTAGACAGATGAGAATTACATCATTTTACTTACAAAAACCAAAAATATTTACATAAACGAATAAAATGCCCATGTATTGCATGCTTAATTCAGCTTCAAATAAATCGAAATCAAGGTTTTTTCTTCCTGGGAAAACTTTGCAGTGAAGCCCATCAGCTCCTCGCCCGCGATCCACCCTTCGCTGCCCTGCCTTTCCAACTCCGAATAAATACAGCCAAATTTGAGGGAATTGCCCGGGAGGTAGAAAGGCATCCTATTTCGCGGGTCGATCGGGCCGGACGCCGATGGGAGGGAACCCCGGCCCGCTCATGCAGCTCCGAACCTCCGCGTACAGGCGATTGGCGCCGGGGTCCGCGACCTGGCAGCCGTAGCCTCCCTGGCTGTGGAGGAGGGCGAAGTCCAGGCAGTCGATCGCGCCGTCGCCGTTGCAGTCCTGTCGGGGCGATTCGACTCCTTTGTATTCGAGAGTCCATAAATTCAAGTCGATCTGCAAAATTGCTCAACCCGAATGTGAGATGCGATTTAAAGCCTGAATCATCTCTGATAATCAGCGATTCGATTCAAGTTTCATCAGCCAAGGAGCGTCACCAGTTCAACTTCGGTCAAATTTTGAAGGATTCCGATTGACTGTCCAAACACTTGCGTGCTTATTGAGTCGTGTTTCTTTTTTTCCTCATCCGAGCACATGCCCGGATCTGATCCTCCGTCATGCACATTGCCCAACAGATATTGGAGCACCGATGTAATTCACGGTAGCAGATTTTAAGCTAGATTTGATCGAAAAGTTACAAAATTCTAAGGATTTCATTTGGATTCATGATACTGCTCAAATAATTGAAATTACGCCTATAACGAAAAAAAAATTCATGATTCAATTTCTTAACGTCTTTGCAGCTCCAACAGCAGACTCCGCGTATATCCTTTCTTGGCCATCCCCAACGTATCGGCATGCTCGACCAACGGCATAGTGTCTCATTACCATGTGACATATTTATGCAATCAGCGTTTTTTCATGCTAACGCAAGCCACAAAAGGGGCTCGTGTTAGCATTGAAACTCTCCCTACATGGGTTGCTCATGCAGTAAGGAAGCGTGTACGCATAGACTGTTGCACGTGCATAGCACGCTTGCAAGAAACAAGTGGAACTTAACTAATAAGTAAGCATTTATTTTATGGACAAATGAAAACCTGACTTGATTTGGCCAAGGACAGGAAGTGAAAAAAAAACTCGTACCATTAGTGCATTGGTTTTTCCCTATCTGGAAAGAACTGTATTGAGGGATGTAACTTTTCTACGTCGCCCAAATTTATCTCATTTATGAAATACTGTACTTGGAACAACCCATCCTCCAATAACTTCGATAAATTAATGTTAATATTTCTACAAGATTTACCATTTTAGGCAGGCATATTCTAAGAACTGCGGCCGAGAGCAGAGAGAGAACTGTCCCGGAAATGTCGCTAACCTTCTGAAACTTGTCCACGTAAAGCCTCATGGTACTGGCAGCACACCGATAATCCGTCGCACAAGTCCGGAACGCTACAACGCAAGGACACCCAGTCATGCCCCATCACCCAACTCAGACAGCAAAAAAAAGGATGTCAGCCACGCGCGCGTCTCACCATCAGGCGCGTGCGGATTCCCCCCCTCCACCACCGCCCTCCCCGCGTCGATCCAATACGCCTCCGAGATGTGGAAGGGGCCACAGTACTGCCGGCCGCCACTCCAGGTGCATCCGATCGAGGCGTCGCAGTTGCTGCTCCCGCGGCAGATGCACTCGATGCACCGGTCGCTCAGAACGTGGCTCCTCTCGATGAACACCGGCGGCGGGATCCCGGGTCCGACCGGCGTCTGCAATCGGGCCGTGCCTTGACCTTCAACTTCAAAGAGACAAGTCCGTGAAGGCGATAAGATAAATATTTAAATATATATATATATATATATATATATATATGTATAAAACGGAAAGCGGATGTAAAACTAGCTGCGAACGCGGTACGGGTTTTCGAGGAAAGAACGACTGTATCTTCTCGAGAAAGAAGCTTGGAAGAGCGCTCCCCTTTTATTATTATTTAATGCTCATACCGTGTGTGATAAAGGTATGCCCGAATGAAAAAAGCTTAACCGGAACTGTCACGGCAAGAGCTTCACGCAAGCATATACTTTCCATAATACTTGGAAATAACACTGGAATCCTGTTACGGACTGAGAAAAGCTGTGGAAATTTGGCCCAAATTATTCCCGGCCCCCCGCAATGGTACGGCCTTGCAAGTCCAATGTAAATTAGATTTGCGAGCCAGAGAAGCATCCAAAACAGATTTTTTTTTTCAAGTGAGGGAATAAAAGAAGCCGCTTGCTTGGAAGAGTGGGGGGGG